ACACTCTACTGAGGGTGACAAAGTGAGACTCTGTCTCAAAAGAAAACCCAAAAAAACCAAATGCATAGCTTTAAAAGCTATTAGAAATCTAAAGGAAATTCGCCACCATAATTCAAAGGGAAAGAGTGTTTAATACACTACCAGAAGTTGATAATAAATCTTTTAAACTACTAATTGTAAATCTGAAAACGTTCTTCTAAATTACTATTAAAGACAAAATTTGCAACTATTTAGAGGGTGAGATTACTACATATCAAAATAGACCATGTATTTAAAACCTTGCTTGAGGCAATTATTTAGTGAGGAAACACTAGAAAATATTATCTAGGCACTAACTATAGTCAACCCACTAACTTAGAAAAATACAAATTAAAGTTTAAGTCAAGAATGTGGAAGGAAATGCTGAAGATTACAAGTGGAAATTATGCAACAATCAAGATACGCTAGGATTATTTAATCAGTTGCTTAATATTAGGGAGGAAAAAAAGCATTTTATTATGGAAACATAAGAAAGAAAAAAGTGAAAACAACATTAAAAGGAATAAATAGTCTATAAAGAAATATAGAAAAGGTTAGAAAAACAATGAGAGGGTATTGAGTACATTACAATTGAGTATTCAGTTGTATACTAATAAAACGTGAATGTCTATGGCACAATTTTCTGACTTAAAAATATAGTAATTTCAAAAAAGGTAGGAAAATCAGACAAAATTTAAGATAATTAAGGGTATCTCCTAAATCAAAAGCGTTTTGTGCCCAGCTTCACCTCTGATTTCAGTGACACTATGGAGAACATTTGTGAAGGCTTATACTGACTCTGTGCTGACAGCCTCCTAAAGTATAGGATATGTGTAGAAGCAGGGAGTTAACATGAGCCAATGAATAAATGCAATATCCTGCCCACTCTTGGGAAGGTTCTAGAAGGCATTCCATGCATTCCTCACAAGGTCCTGGCCAGATCAAGCCTCAGTTGCCCACAGTGGTAACCAGCTCAGGGATGGGCCCTTGTATTGGCTTTTCTTCTTTCCATGCATGTTTCATTCTGCTTGTCACTCAGCGATGTTTCTGGAATGATTTCCCTGCTAAAATATCTATGCAAGTTCTGTTGAAGGCTATACTCTCAGAGGAAGACATAAAGATACCTCCTAAAAGTTTCTAGGCTCAGAGTGGATGTACAGCAAACTACTTTAAAGTTTCAATGAACAGCTGTTTCTAAAGCCTACAGAATGGGTGGGTTTTAGAACATAGAGAAAGGGGGTGGAAAATTATGTAGTTTGTATCACAGAACTAGAATAATCCTGATCCAGACCTATCAAAGAATACATAAACCCTTTTGCAGTTGAAAAACATGATGAACAATGTTTTATTCTGCCAGACATGTCCTAGTTCTTTAGCTAGAAGTCTTCACCATTGGATTAAACTAGAACTTATACAGGAGATAGATGCCAGGAAATATCAACAGTAATACCTAATACAACGTAACTGCCTTGTAAATAGTTGTTAATACTGTATTGTTTTTTGTATTATTTTGTTATATTTTATTTACTTTTTAATATCTGTGGTCCACAGTTGGTTGAATCTGCAGATGCAGAACCCACAGACACAGAGAGCCAGTAGTACATGGGAGATAGACACAAAATGCGTGTTATAAAAGCACAATGTGCCCAGCATCCCAGAGTGAAAGAAAATACCTGGGAATTTACTTTCAGTGAGCACATAAGGCATGTGCACGTGAAATAAAATTAAGTGATGGAGACGTTAATGCTATTTAATTAAGAAGCCAGAGGAGAAGTGGATGATTGGGAGAACATTTTGTGGAGGAGGTAGGCTTTGAAAGGGATTCAATAGAAGTGACAAAGAGATTGAGTATGTGATATATAGAATATAATGAGCGAAGTTGATATAGCTGATGCTGCAAATTGGTTCATTCAACACTGACTCCTTCCCCCACTTTTTTAAAAAAAAGTTTGGCTTATTATATTATAAAAACTATAGAGGTGGCGGGTTCAAATTCAGCCCCGGCCAAAAACTGTAAAAAAAAAAAAAAAAGGAAAAAACTAGGTTATCTCCAACAGTTATCTATCCTCCCCTTCAGTATGTGAAGATGGATGAGAACAAAATGAGATAAAAGCTAAAGAAAGACAGACCAGATCATTATGGCTAGGTTTGACAGAGCATCATGGGGTTTGAGCAGTGGCTCTGGCTCACCTGCAAGTTCTGTATGCCACCTAGTGGCCTATAGTAAATTGGCTGTTCTAAGTAAGAATGCTAACCAAAAGAAGTGTTAAGGCAGTATTTTGAACGTCTTGAAGATATCAGCCTGCCTAGTGCTTTTGTTAGAAGTGGGCAAGTGTACATGGTGGTACACATCTCTAGCCCTAGCTACTCAGGACGCTGGGATGAGAGTATCGCCTGAGGCTGTGAGTTCTAGTCAGGTGTCTTGGTCCAGCCCTCATGACCCAAACACCTCCCATTAGGCTGCACCTCCAACTTTGGGATCAAATATCAACATGAGGTTTGGAGGGGACAAGCATTCAAATTTTAGGAGCAAATCTGGTTAGATTAGAAGAATTTAAAATTTACAGTAGTCCTAACTGAATCTAGTTGATAAAACAAGAAGAGCAAAAGTTTATTGTTAAATCTAGATATTAGGTTTATTGATCACTTAAAATTATATTTTTGGTATGTTTAAAACTTCTTATAATAAAATGCTTAGGAAAAAAGCTTGTAGGAGAGGCCTTTAATGGTACCAAGTAAATTTGAATTTCCTTACAAAAGTTCTGATTGTTGCTAGATTATTGTTTTTAAATTTTAGCAAATTTTGAAGAATGGAAAGTATATTAGAAAACTAGAGATGCTAACTCTGTTTTTATAAAGGGAGGAAGTTGGAAATTGAAAAATACTTAGTGTTTTAGAAAGCTGTTTGATGCAAGCTTAGTTTATACAAATTTCACAGACTTTAGATTAATAAACTCAGATGTGCAACAAAGTTCTTTAGTTCTTTTATCAGCTCTTTTTAAAGTAGTGATGTTAATTCTGAGTAAAGGAACTAAGATGGCAAATCTGTACAAAGTGAAATTTTTTAATTAGTAGAAGCCAGTCCAAAGGTAACAACTCCTTTATCCAACTAGTTTTAAAAGGATAGGCAAAGTGTTACTGTGAAAGCCTTAATTTTTCAGTTAGTATGATTTCATGTTGTAACACTATGCTTAACCTAACTCCATCCCAGCCTTTCTTTACAATCCAGTGTAAGGAAATGGTTACTGAACTAACTCTTAGCTATATTGTTGTTTAGGAACAAGCTGAAGAGAAACTGAGAAAGAAAACAGAGAGGAAGCGGGATTTTGAAGAGCAAATGGCCTTGAAGGCACTGGTGCTGCAGGCTGCCCAAGAGGAGGAGGAGAGCTTCAGGCAAGCCCTGCTAGCCAAACTTGCTGAGGACGATCGGATAGAACTAATGAACGCTCAGAAACAAAGAATGAAGCAGCTGGAACACAGGAGGGCTGTGGAAAGACTTATTGAGGACCGTCGCAACCAGTTTATTGCCGACAAAGTAAGAGATTTGGGGGGGTTGGTTTGGTTGTTTGGTTGGTTTTTTTCATAATTATCATTAAACAGCATCTGGCTTATCTATCATCTACTGAACATTTACTCAAACATTTTATATGTCAGACAATGTTAGATAGCTGTTTATTATGTTATATGAATTTTCTGGCCAATCATTTGTTAATACATCTAGAAAATATTTATTGATGCTTTCTATTTGCTAAACACTGGTTGATATTAGGAACACAAAATTTGGATACAACCAAATCCATGTCATTTATGAATTTATGGTCTTGGCTAAGAAAATGTAGAAAGTAATTTGTAAATACATGTCATATGCATGTGATAACAATCATACAAGTATGGACTTTCGATATGACAGAGAGGAAAGATCATGGATGTCCTGGGTGATATTTTAAGAAGGTGGGATTTTTTTCCAAGGAAGCCACTGAAGAATTAGGAAAATTCATGTTCAGAGCTGCATTTTGGAAGCAGATTGAAGCAACAGCATTGAGGGTAGATGTGAGAAGAGTAAGACTGGAGATTGAGCGACCAGTAAGGAAGTTATTACAGTAACCCCATGATATGTGGTAAAACCCATGCAAATGGAGAATGGAGCAGAGATGTTAAAGATAAAAAATAGTTGGGGCTTGGTGACCAACAAGATCTTAACAGGTGACGGAAGACTTATGGCTACTACTGATACTATATTTTCCATCTTTAGTGAGTGGATAGTGTCCTAACAAAAGTATATTGAAAGGAAAATAGATTTTTGAAGGAATAAATAATTCCATTTTGTCTGCATTGACTTTGAGGCCCAGGGAAAGATTTCTAGCTGGAAATGTGTATTTAAGAGTTGGAGAGGGAATGAGGTTTTGACTTTATTAATCTCTTTTATTAGATTTTAGTGGTTTAAGAACCAAATGAGGTAATATATAAGTGCACTAAAAGATAAAAAGCTCAAAAGCAAAAAAGATAAAAAGCTGTAATAGGAAGAATACAATTTAGGCATATGGTAAATATTTTTAAGAAGTGATAGAAGTTG